TCTCTCTTCCTTCCTTTCTTTCAGTGCTGAGGATGGCTCCCAGGGCCTGTTGCATGCTGGGCAAGCACTCCCCTGCTGGGCTGCATCCCCAACCTCAATATATACTTGTAAACCTTGTTTTCTTCTTGACCTCTCAAAGGACAACAATATTGACCAACTGCAAACACTGTGTGCTTGGTTCCAGGGACACCCTGCTCCTGATGTGCCTTGGTCTTCTGGCTCCCTCTCAATCTTCTTTATAGGTTTCACGGCCCAGGCCTGACTCCTGCCTGCCGCTATCTTTAGGGTCTTATCATGTGCCTTCTGTTTGCTTCTCTAGTTTGTCCATGTGATCTCGTCTAGCCTGGGGGTTTATTTATTACGTATATGCTGATGAATGACTGAAATCTCTGCCTTGAGGCCTGAACTTTCCTGGGCTTCTGGCCCTGTGGTCTTCCTTCTTACTTAATATCTCCATTTTTTGGAGACTGTTTCAGAGTCCCCATGTCCAAGTGGATTGCAAAATTTGTTTTCCTACCTGGTGGTCCATAAAATGTATCTTTTTTGAGTGTGTGTGTGGTGCTGGGGATTGAACCCAGGACCTTGTGCATGTGAGGCAAGCATTCTACCAACTGAGAATATATTCTGAGCCCCCAAATGTGTCATTTTAACCATTTTTAATTGTACAATGCAGTGGCATTAAGTATATTTATGTGATTGTGTACCTCTCTTTAGGACTTTTTATTCATCCTAAACTGAAGCTGTTCCCGTCAAAACTTGCTCCTTGCTATCTTCTGGCTAAGGTTTGAGTTTGTCTCCTAAGGTTTCATGTGTTGGAATCTTGGTCCTGGATGTGTCACTGCTGGGAAGCGGTAGAACCTTTAAGAGGTGGAGCTTAGTGGTGGGAAGTCCACAAGTCATTGGGAGCACTGCCCTCAGAAGGAATGAAGGTATTTCCTTTGGAATTTTGTGTTATTTTCCAAGGGAGTTGTTATGAGAGTGAGCCTGACCCCTGAGTTGCTCTGTTTGGCTTCCTGTCTGGTGATATGATCTTTTGCTCTCACGTGTGCACATGCATCTGTCATGAGGTCCTCATGGGAGTGGATACCAACACTTGAGCCTCTAGAATGGTGATATAAATAAACATCATATTTATGAAGTTATCCAGCCTCAAGTATTGTGTTATAGTCACAGAGAAAAGACTGATACATTCCCCATCCCCTCTTACCTGCTAGCAGCCATTTTTTTCCTGTCTCTATCAATTTTACCACCAATCCATTTTTCTGTCTCTATTAATTTCACTGTTTGAACTAGTTTATTTTAATGTATGCAAAGTCATTTCTTTTATTCCCCTCCAATTTATTTAAAAGCAATTATT